CGGCACAAGAGCCACTAACGGCTCCTCCTCCTCCAACGCTTCCTCCAACGCCTCTTCCTCAGTAGCCGCCAGGATCTCTTGATTATATGTATCAGAACACTGGCGGTACGTTTTTTCCCATGAGGCAAAGTCGGCATTGGGGAAGAGCCGGCCCCAAGTCATGTGCTGGATTTGAGCGGAGTCTTCCATCATCTCCCGGACCAGCTCTTTCTTCTCTTGCTCGGCCTTTTCCGAGAGCTCCTGTGTAAGACTCTTCTCCTAGGTCACCAGGCGTTCCTTTACGTTGGCCAAGGATTTCTCCAAGGCTTCGTATGAGTACATCTTTAGGCGAAGAGGTTTCAGCTCGGCCTTGAGATTGGTGATGGTCGCCTCCAGCTCGCCATTCCTCTTCTGGGCCGCCTCTAACTGAGCCCGAACAGCGGCGGTAGCCTGCGCCTGATAATAAAGAATATCAATGGTCAGAACTTCATTTTGGGCAATTTGAAACATTGCCTTATCACAGTCAGAGGCGGCCATAGCTTTTGCAGCCTTTACCTCTTTGTTCTTCCGGTCAAGCGGCTTGCGAAGGCCGTTCACTCGGATCAGGGCCTAAGTACAAAGGAACAGGCGTCAGTTTCCAAACAAAAAGAAAACAGGCGTCCTGGAATTCAAATACTCAAAAATATGCTAAGTATACCTCAGCAAGGACCCCTGCAATCCCGTCTAGGTCAAGGGTGACGACACCCCTGACCGCCTCCCTTTCAGCTGGAGGAACTGCCCTGATCATAGACTTGGCCACCTCTACCAAGTCAGGCTCCTGAGGGCCGGCTGCATCAAGCATAAATAAACGGATTAGACCTAGTAAAAAAGGGAGCAAGTCTAAAATTTACAAGGACAACTTCATACTTCTAGGCGGCCCAATTGGAGTTTTAGAAGAAGTGGCCGGCTGTTTCTCAACCGCCACATGTTTCCTGGCAGAACCAGGAGAGCTCGCAACAGTCGTCCTCCGGGCCTTGGGGTCCGGCTGTTGGGAAGATGAAGCTCTTGGAGCACCCGTCTAAAAAAGAAGAAAAAAGTCAGTATATGCATAAACACAACTCCAAAAAAGAGGGTGAAAGGTTCGGAGCTCACCAAGGGTGCCCCCTTCTTGGGGGAGTCGGTTGAAGCTTGTTGCATGATGGAGGCCCGCAACATGGCCGCCGCTGTCTTGGAGGCGGTGATTTTGCTCATGGCGTCAGCTGCAAAAACAAACAGCAAAGTTAATAAAAGTCATAACAAGAAATGTATGGAACAACAGAGTATTCGAAAGGCCGACTACCTCTTGAGCACCGACTGCTGAGGCCACAGGCGGCCAAAAAGTACTCGTCGTAGAGCCATTTGAAGCTCGGGACGCAGTGCAGGGGTACTTGCTCTCATACCCCTGAAGTAGAGTCGACCCTCGACTCTACTTTAAAGAGTCCTTTATCAAGGATATCTTTCTTAGCCTTGGGGGGAACAGGCGGCATGCTACGGCCGCCTGCAAGAAGGGGCAGATTCCTGTTCCACCTATTGAAGCGCTTGTTCAGCTCAGTGTCTGAACTCTCAATGATGAGGAAGGTGCTCCGCCAGTCCTTCCACTTGTTTGCTTTACCTCTCGTCATGAGGTAGCCATGTGGCTTGTCAATTGATACCAGCCGGTACCGCCTGCCTTAGGGGTCCGGCTGAGATAGTTCATATGGGCGAAAGCCTCGAAGCTCGGCTCCACCCCGTGCAGTTCGCACCCGGCCACATAGCCGAGTACGTTGACCCAGGAGTTTGGGGCTAACTGCCATAACCCCAACTCATACCCATCCAAGATCCGCTGAACAGCCGGATGTAATGGGAAGCGCAGCCCAGCCTTGATGGCCGCCTCGTAGCAGCCAAAGCAGGCGCTATCATAACTGGTACCAGCCGGCCAGACGAATGTGTCTTCTGGATCCGACACAAACACTAAAAAGTCGGGGCCCATTGTGTGGTTTGCGATAAAGCTCTCCACTTTCTCTTGCATGACTGTGATCCGGCCCCGAGGTACCGTGCAGTAGTAGGGGGTATTTTGCTCTCGGTAAGAGGCGGATGGCTTCGCCCAATTGTCCCCCTTCTCAACTGCGTGAGAAAGCCTCGCCTCTTGCAGGCGACTGTTTTTCTCTTCTGAGGCCAGAGAAGCATGGCCAGAAGAGCTTGACTCGGAATCGTCCTCTGACGAGTCCGAAGAGGACGACTCCTCCCCTCTCCCGGAGGGGCCCGCCTCCTCTCCTTGAAAAGGAGCAGAATTGTTAACTGTAAAATGGGAAGGGGTCACTATGACTCCTCCTTCAGAATTTCCGGCTTTCAGGCCGCCTTGTTTCACTTCCACATCTAGCGCCTAGTCAGATGTTTCACTAATCGGCACCCTGTGGGAGGAGCCGTCTGAATTTGAGATCCTAGCAGTCTTTTTTGTTCTGGCCATCCTGCTCTGCATAGACACAGATACAGTCGGACTTTGTATAAAGGGCAAAGACAGGTCCGGAAAAGGGCAGGCGGCACTCCTAGTCCTAGATTCAGCCGTCCCCGGTGACCGGCTGATCACTAACCTAGGTCGTGTCGTGTGCTTCCGTGGTGCCATTTCAAAAAAGTAAAAAAGAAAATTAAGAGTAAGAGAACCGACAGTTACCTGAACGAGTGACGGTTGATGAAGTTCTGAAAATCCTTTGCAGTCGGCTTGTCAGAACAGGCGGTAGGCAGAAAGGGTCCAAAATGTCAGAGCAAGTTCAGGGGTCCGAATGTTCTCAAACAGTTCTCAAGTGTGAAAATGACTGAAGTCAACACTCCTTTATATAGGCGAAGTGAGAAGGCAAAGGGTCACTTTCAGAATTCAAAATTTGGGCGGGAAAATCTCTCGGCCTTTCGCCGACTGACACCTGTAGCAGGTCGTCGCCTGTTACAGTGCGGCACCTGTCACAGGTAACACGTGACAAGTCACGTGCCACCTGTGAGGGGCAAATGATTAGGGGATTTTGCTCCCACCAATCGGAATGCGCCACGTGGGCCAATCAGGTCCTGCCAAGTGTCCCCCAGATGGAACTGTCAGGGCATGCCACGTGGCACACGCTTATTCGTCCACCTTGGACCTGTTATGTCATGATACGTGGCATACTCCATGCCTAATGGAGAAACCGGCCACCCAGGCCCAACTTCCGGGGGAAGCCCAATCAGCCCTAGGTTAACCTAAACCTAGGATTGGCACGTTTCCCAAGGTTATAAATACCTCCCTTAATCCTCATTAAGGGGGGATTACATTAATTACACACAGAAATAACAGGCTGATATCGCTAACAAAGCAGATTACCTACATTAAACACTCTCACCTAGAGAGACTCAATCACTTTAATTTCCGCATTAATTACTCCTTAATCAAGTACTAACTTGACCGTTGGAGGCGGAACTCCCACCACCAGGAGTCTCCGTTGTTTTGCAGGTACAGGCGTCCGGTTCCAGTCTCGGAATTGTAACTCTCCCGCAGGACATCAGAAAACCCCGAAACAATTAGCATGCTTAATTGCGCGAGAGTGAGTTGCGTGTGTTGCTTGTTCCTAATTGAGGTCATTTTCATATCATTGGAATGTTGTTGAATGCATTAATGTAACTGGATTCCACTATCCTAGTTTTAAGTAGTGTTTTAGTTGTACCTCTCTCCCTATATCTCGAATATCCTACTAGTTTAATTAACATAAATTAATACACTTAGTCTTCGTGGTTCAGCCGTTCAACCCTATACTTGCCACTAACTAGTTTGGTGTAAGTCTAGGTATTATAAATATTTAATTTGGTTAGGATTACTAGTCCCAATGACCTACTTTACCGCAATCAATATCCTCTTACACTTTACGTGATTTACCAATTTAACATGTGATGAATCCAACCAATCAATCAAGAATAAACATAACAACATTCAATACATACTTCCAATTCATTCTTAATTAATTAGTGAGCACATGCTATTTATTTTAATTAAAGTTCATTGCCTAGTTTTGTGTACAAAATTGCACGATTACTACCTTGGTGCATAGAATGCTCTAGTAAACTTCCTTAACTTAATCTCAACTTACTTGAGCGATTAATAAATAAACTAACTTCTTGACTCAACACCAATAACAAATGGATGAGAATTAAATTCATAAATCATGCTCAATAATTCTAGTTATAACTCCTTTACGCATACATAAAACTTGCTTATTAATTTTATGCTTTCTTGATACTTGAAAATAATGCATACTTTCATGATTCATACATATTCAACTTGTATCATGCTTCAAATAACATATTCACATGCTTGCATAATAATTCATGTTCATCCAACATCAATTCCAAGCATATAATCAATCAAACATGCAACTAAATAATCACTTTAATCATATTTTACAATCCTAGCATGATACTACGCATAGACAAATATTCTTGTGCACATACGTTCCTTAAATATTGCCTAAAATCGGCCACACTCGCTAGAAATCACCTAGCTCGAAGCTTGCTACAAATAAAAATACAAACTGTAATTAATCCACTATTCTCACAAATTTCTAGCAACTATAATACTCTTTAAACCTTAATAATCAACCCAGTTTAATGACATAAAAGCCATAAAACCTTTTCTTTAAATGGGTACTTTAAATCCTGTAAAAAGGATTTAGTTTTCTGACTTAAATAAAGTTCAAGCATACTAATTTAATATAAAACATCACTTTTAGACTAGAAAATTATATTTAAATCATTAAAACCTTTTTCCTTTTTATGTGATGTTAAACCCTAACTCAATAATTAAAGAGTAGTGTGTATAATTAAATTACAGCATTAAATTGACGGCTTTAAATTCATTAAAACATGTTTAAATCATGAATTAATCAATAACAACAACTTAGCATCCACTACAAGAAAATAGAGTAAATTTTGACGCTTTAGCCTTGACGCTTTTGTAATGGGTCATAATTTTCCTCCGTCCACGAATACGTAATTAATATATTTTGACGTTTTTTAGAGCTAAAACCCTCAAAAGCGTCATCATATCGAATATAGTGAAACGTGTCACCCAACTATCAATTACATAACCCGCTGAAATTAAAATTTCACCCAAATTAAAATTCTAATATCCCAGGATAGTGGGATACTGTACCCACGTCCTCACTATCAGCTCCAACATAGCCACCTTTTGCTCGCTGCTCTGAATTTTGCCTAAAAACTTTGAATCTTCAAAAAAAAAAAAAAAAAAAAAAAAAAAAAAAAAAAAAACAAATCCCTAATTCAATTCCTTGATTTCGGTTAGCATATAATCATCTCAACCCACTTCTTACTTACCTCTTTAATTTTTTTAATTTGTATATTTGAAGCGTATGATGTGAATTTCAGATTGATTTAATACTCTTCATAATTTGCCAAAAAGGTTCTCTTAATTGAGTTTTGTGGTTAATTTGTATTGTGAATTTGGATTCATCGTTGCTATTGTTTGTTGGAATTATCAAGATTCAGCCAAAAGATCTCGTAAGTTTTTTTTATTTTTTAATTTTTTCTCAAATTTTTTCTCTAATTATTATGGATGTTGATAGCTGCATGCATGATTATAATAATCTCCAATTATACTTGAACAATTGGCTGAATTAATTGAGTGATTGAATTAGTTTCAGATCACTTCTTGGTTCCTCCCTTTGCCAAGCATATCTATGATGAAGATTTGGGAGTCTCTTCTTCTTCTGGATAGCTTCTTGCTAGGTTGGAATTCGCTGTTGTGGATGTCTGCTTTTGTTGCTAGTACTAATGATAGGGTTGATATTAGCCTAGTTGTTTTGTTTAGCTTTAATTACTATCTAGATTTCTATTTCTGTTTGTATTATAATTATGATAGTAGAAAGTTCTACAGTACCTATCCCTATGATGGTGCTGATAGTCAGATTTGTACTAAGTTACAATACCAATTTTCCTTTCCTAGCTATGTATTTTGGTTTGTTGTTGATTTGGCTGGGAGGAAAATGGCTTTTGTTGTAAGAGATACTTTTAAGGCTTTAAGCCAGTAATATAAGTTCTTCGTTCTGTGTTAAAAAAAAAAAAACAATTGAGTGATTGAATTGGTTAATTATATTCTAACTTTTTTATTGGTAAAGAATTGGTTACTCATTTGCAATTGTTACTCGAATTATATTCTAACTTTTTTATTGGTAAAGAATTGGAAGTTCTATCCTATGTTATGTTGTGTGTTTGTCTTGATTGGTAGTGTCATAGTATTTTGTTGACTGCCAATTGCAATTTAGCTTTGTGACTGTAGTGTTGTTTGAGCCTGTGGACTGTTTGAGAATTTATATAGTGTTAGTGTGAACTCTCTGTCTAGTTTTGTCGTGATCTGTTTGATGGGCCGTATTGAGAATGAATTTTTATGTAATTTTGTAAGGAAAGACTCATATCAATGTCTATGGTAATGATTGTCCCTCCATCAAGACCCCAAGTATATAATCGTCATCATAAATTTTTCTCATCATTCATGACCAACTAGGATGTTTTAAGACTCTCATTTGCTGCCTTTCTTGGCTTTTTTTTACGTCTCCGGTTCCGGTTTTGGCTTCGAGTTGTTTGTTGTATTCTTCAAGCTCTTTCTTGTATTCTACCATGCTCTCAGCTGCCTTCTCATTCCACATCTTTTTCTCTTCTTCATTTAGATCCTGTGATAACCACATAATAATTAATCATCAATTTGTTAAGTTACCGATTAAAAAGTATGCATTTTTTCATGTAAATTACATATGTTATGAATTTTTCATGTCCATTCACACATGTTATGTTGTAAGAACTGAACATGTGAAAATTTACCTTCCATTTCAAAGAAATAAGTGCATTGATGGCAGAGAGTTAGTTTCAAACTGCTCCTTAGTTAGATTTTCCTTCTCTTAAACCATATTTAACATCAAATCTCAAAGCTAGTTTTCTTCTCTTAATCTTCAACAACGCGAGCTCGAAAAATTATTCAACTGAGCAGAAAGAAAGAAGACGGAGGCCTTTTAAGCTTGTTTAGATCAGTGACTTTCTCTTCCTTGTTCTTCTTCTTGATCTCCTTAGTTTTATACAATCATAAACCGGAATTAAACAAAACCCTCAAAACTATAGTAATTTACCTTGATGATGTTCTCAGCCTTTTCTTTCTTCTTTAGCAGCTGTAAAGCTTCAAATTTCTGAATTTTCATGAATTTATCCTCCTCTTTTTTCAAGCTAGCACATGGAAAGATAAGTGAATTCAATCCTTAGTTAAATAAACCAAGGAATAACTAAGTAACAAGTGTCACATGGTTAGGTGAGGACCACTTCCTCATTGGCTCCCCAAGGCAACTCACATGCATTGTGAGCTAACCATGTGTCACCCAACCTTGAGCCCCAAATTGGGTTCGGTTGGGCCACTACATTTTGGCTCGTGTTCATGATCATCCACCCTGGTCTACGGGGGCCATGCCACATGGCGCGCTGCCAACGTGGCACGCTGCCACTTGGCGGCTGCTAACGTGGTTGCTGCCACGTGCGCTGCAACGTGGCACATTATTATTTGGCGCGCTTCCCCAGTCTTTCGCGTGGCTAGGGTTTTAATTGTTACTTGAAGCTTTTTCCCGTCTTGCGAATTCCTAAATTTTGGCTTCACTTTCGATGCTCGGATTCGATACTCCAAGCTCGAAATTCCGACATCTAAATATTTATTACTTGGGTGACTCATTAATTCCTTCCGAATTAATTCGTCGCATCGGTTTGTTAGTTGCTTGGGTGTGACCCAAAGGGTTTAGTCAAGATTAAGCTTTAATATTAACTACTCATTAATATTACCGATCGGAAGCGGCCTCCACCCAGGCATTCCGATCACTTGACCTCATTGAATAATTAGCTTTCTAATAATTCCGAATCCTCTATCGGAATAATACACTTGTTCGAAGGCGAAATAATAAGGCAACAAAAAATTCAACAAAGTATAAAATAATATGAATAGATTAAAGTGTGAATAATCTCACAATAATTAACTTACATATTAATTAGAATGAATTAAGGCATTACCACAAAATCAAGTTCCAAAATTCGCTAAAAAAAATCAGCAAAACAAAAAAAAAATAAAAAAAATTGCATTTTAAATTATGGTATAACTAAATAAAATCTACAATACTTAAGACATTGCACATCATACCTAATTTTTGAGCAAAAACCCAAAAATTAACTAAATTAGAAAAAGATCTATTTAATAAGGAGCTAATTTGAAGATAGCATATAATTAAGTTCTTTATCGATGAATTTCCGAGATTAGAAGCAAAGTTATGTAGGCAGAATCATAGATGAGAATCACAATTCAACCAAAATCGTTCAGGAGAAGAGATTATAAAAACGAATTCGCAGGAAGACAAAGATTATGAACGAGGAGAGAGAAAATGTAATGAAGAGAGAGAAACTAGAGTTCAGTCATACTTTTTGTCCCACGTAGAGTTCAAGGGATAATTAGTATGAATCATAAGTTTACCCACTAGTACTAGAAATGAATTCGGGAGTGAGGGTACTAGGAAAATGTTTTTTTTACAAGAATCGCAATCCTAGCCCTAGTGCGACCTCCACTAGCTCTCCCTAATTTCATTACCAAACAATATATGCAACGTGATACCTAAAACAAAGTTAACTGATTTTATTTACAAGCAAGAATCACAAAAGAATACATTGCAACGAATTTCATTATTCTTTTTTGTTCAAAATTCGTGAAAGGAACAAGAAATAAATAAAACAATATTCGCCTTGACTAGGTAGTCAAATGGTGAGATAAGGAGGATTCGTGTGGTGGTGAGCCGGTAGGTTTTGGGCGTGATTAGTGGGGTCTTTGATGTTTGATGGTAGTGGGCTGTTGAGGGTGGGTTTTTGTAGTTGTGGGTTTTGGGGGTGGTGGGGTGGTTTTGGTGGTGGTGATATATGGTGGGTTTTTGGGGTGGTGGGGCATAATTTAAATGGAAGAATTTGTCCTCTAAAAAAGGAAAGGGTGATTTATGGTGGATTATTAATAATCACCAATATCTCTCTCCTCACTGAATCACATACTTTTTATTTTACTAATCAGCTCTGAAGATTTTTCACTTTGATGCATCTAAAAAGTAACGAAGGTAGTAGAAAGGATTTTCTTCTCCTACTAAAACTAGGAAGAGTTGGCTTTAAAATTTAAATAAGAAAATTGACTTGGCTTTGCTTAAAAGTCTTTTAATAAAATATAATCAATCTAAAAACTACATAATTAATAAAAGCAATCCAAAAAAAAAAATTTATATATTAGTAAATTAATTTATAAAGTGTATAAAAACATTCGGTATGATGCTACATATTGGACGTACAATTAATATTTTTCCCATGATATATAAAAAGAAATCAAGAAATGAGCCTCACAAACGGAGTTGTTGATGAAATTCATTTGTGGGGTAATGCTACTCAAACCTTTTTTTTTTCGGTGGTTGTTGTTATTGTTTTTTATATTTTTTTTTGTGTGAGAAAATGTAAAAGTTTTTAGTAGAATGTTTCCAAAAGTCTATATTTAATAGGTAGTTTTAGAATTAAAAAAATCCTTATGGGAAAGATAAATGACTATCAATAGTGCAATTTCAATAAGAATCTCCTTCATACTTAATAACAACCGACAACATTTCTATATGAATTTTATTCTTTTGAATTCTAAGATAAAATTACCTGTAAATGAGTCTTTTGTGGCTATATTGTATTCCCTCCATATTTTAGGCACAAAGTATAGGAGGAAAAATATAATACAATAATTTGTTGTTAAAGTGGGGTATAGGTAATACAATTTAAAAAATCTCAAAAGGAAATAGTGGGTATAGTGGGGAGGAGACAGAACCTAAAAATATAAAAATAAATGTGGGGACAACTAGTGAGGAGGAAAATAATAATATTGTTATATATTTTCAAAAGTACAAATTGAGCAATATTTAAAATGTGACCGATAATGGAAAGTGGACCCCTTATTAAAATACGGAGGGAGTACTTGGAATTGTAATAACTCAAATTATTTCCAAATTTAATATATATATTTAATCAAATTTTAACAATTATGTACTCATCGCACAAGAAATCAAACAATCTCTTTGAAGTAAATTATTGTTACAATAAAACACCCTAAAAATCAATGCATATGATCATGTGAAACACCCATACTACAAAATCGAGGCTATAATAATGGAAATCATAAACAAAATAATCTTAATGTATAAGTATTACATAATTTAAATCTCCCCCGTAATTTTGTTCAATAGGAAAATTTAAACAATTTCCAAAAAAAAATAAAAAAATAATAATAATAATAAATAAATAAAAACTATTTTTAATTAACTATGTAATAGCTATATTACAAACTTAGTTGTATTAAAGCTTATACATCTACTTGATTATAAAGCACGCATCATTCATTATACAGATGCTTTTATAGATTTCTCTAGCATTGTTAATATAAATCTATTTTACACTTTTTGTCATGAAATTATAAAATTTCACAATTTGGGAGGTGGAAGTAGCCATTTGCCTGCATCTATGTACTCCAAACTGATAAAGGTTGTAGCTTCTACAGCTGTCAACTTCTTAGCAAATGGAGCTCTTTTAGCAAGTGATGCGCCTGGACCCGTGTTCATATACTCTGCAAAGTAAATTGTCCTACACACAAAATATTAAAAACTTACTTCATCATTAGATCACTTGTCAAACTGATTTAAAGTGTATAATTTGAGAAAAAAATGAAACATGAAATGGTTAATTTACTTTTGTGCTTGTGGCTTGTTATTGTCGGACCAGCCCTCGGGTTTAATAACATCACTAATGGTACAATAAGAGTATATAGCTCGAGCTGCTTCAAACCATACTCTGCCTAAGACTGCATGACCACCTGTTCCAGTAACTGGACAATGGACAAATGAGTATCCACCCTCTTCACTTGGATTTTTCCTTGCATGAGCTACAATCATTGCTTCATTATCACCCGATAGAACATGCAACTCGGTATTCTGTACATGATACTTTTTTATTAGTTTGTGATCAAGCACATTAATAAATTATAATAAACTTATAAAACTGAATATATGTTATTAGTTAAAGCATGCAAAAAATTTGTTATACCAAATATAAAGATCTAGCTGCGCCAAAGATAAAATCAACAGTTCCTTCAATATAACAATCTTTGAAGAAATGTTTGCCTTTATCATCACAAACTGTATCTTGAAATCCTGTAAATTTACAATCATAAAATGCAGCTTTATCACCAGATATTCTCAACGCTACAGCTTGCTCTCCCTTCTTCTTTCCATTCGGTCTTGGAGCAGAGTTCTACAATAACAATTTTGTGAACAATAAGTTGGCTTTCCTCGATAACTTAGAATTTTACTTATATGTCAAATAATGGTAAAATTACTTCCCATTAATTCCATATAATATATTATATTATAATTAATGTACGAATATTTAATTATAATCAAAATTAAATTAAATATTTATATATATTTTTAATTTTTAGTTTATTAGTTCGAGATAACAATAAAATATAATGAATAAATAAATAAACAAAGTAATACTCCGTATAAATATAATAAATAAAAAAAGGGATGAAGAATAAGAGTTGCATACCGAAACAATAATGTTTTTAGCAACAAAGTAATCAGACTCCACAATCAATGTTGCACTGTCTACAGTCCCATACTCAGCAGCTGTTCCAGCAAAAGTTATTGTTGGTCTATTCTTGGGATCTGTCCCGTAAAATGTTACAAATGACTTAAATCTTTCAACTTTTACTTTCTCCCTGTATTCACCGGGACCAATTTTTATGACAACACGTTTAGTATTCCCTATTTTAACATGCTTTACAGCATCAGATATTGTTTTAAATTTTCCCTTTCCATCTTGGCTAACTTCAATGATTTCGACCCCAGTGTTTTCGGCTTCCATTAAACTAGGATCTAGTGTTCCATTTATTTGGCTGCCAAAAAACATAAAATGAAATAGAAAAGTTATAATGGAGCTATGACTCACTTTTATGTAATTATAAAGCATAAATGCATAGAAAGATATTTATACATTTAATAAAGTTATATAAAATTCTCAAGTTTATAAAAATGAAATAAATAATTAAAGTCTTCGTATAGGGTCTTCTTTAGAATATACTTCACTCTATTAATTATTTCTCTTATTTAATTATTAACTAATGATATATAATTATCAGTCTTGACTTAAAGAAATAAATGTTACTTTAGAATATTGCACCATAACAAAATATGTAACAGCGCCAAAGTTTTTGAATACACGGACAAACTAGTTAATACTATTGCCAAGAAATTTATGAGTATACAAAGACATTTTGACTAAAACTATTGAACGTTAATAATTATTTACATAATTAATTTTTTTTTTATTTTTTTTTTTGTGTCAAAAAAAATAAAAATAATTATGTAAATAAGAATAAAATCAATTATTCTTTACTGGTAGTTTGTATACCTCATTGGTTTGATTACATTTTGAAACCATGTATTTATTTCGCCTTTATTTGCTGGAATCTGTGTTTGTGCAGTACATGTAATTGCTAAGCTAATAAGAAGTAAACTTGCAGAAATAATGCAAACTTGTCTTGCCATTTTTATTTTTATTTTTTCTTTTTTCTCTACCTTTACTTTATTTTTATTGTTTTTGTTTCATTCCTTTAAACAAAAGTTGCCTTTTATATAAGATGAAGATAGAGAAAACCAAATTGAGCAAAAAAAGGTTCTTCACCAAAAAAATGGGGCTATGAAAGAAGCATTAAAATTAGGAGGTGTATTCCTTAAAATAAACACGCTTCTCATTATTAAGAAGGATGTTAATAACTCAGATTGATTGAAATATAGGAAAGTTGTTTAACTAATATAATCCTTAAAAATAATTAGAATATTTTTATTATTTTTAGTCAACCCCTACCTCTTAAACTATTTTCTTTTTCATTTACTTAGTATCTTAATTTTTTTAATCTAAAATTTCAATATATTACAATAAATTAAAATAACTTGGTTACAAGTGGTGTAAAACATTTTTTTTAGGTCGTTGAGATGTGGGTAACCTTTTACTAACTTTAATAGCTTTTAACATGCTTTGTAGAAGTTATAACCTATTATGATTTTTATTTAGGAAAAATTTGTAATTATTAATCCTAACTTTCGGAGATTTCTTTTCATTAATCCCAATTATCGATTATTTTTAAATAATCCAAACTTTGGGGGATGTCTTCTTATCAGGCCAAAACCGGTCAATGAAAGTCAATCACCTGTTATACCAAGTTATTGGACACGTGTCAACACTTAATTTGTCCAAAAAAAAATCAAAGTTTAAAAAAAAAATCAAAAAATGAAAAAAAAAACCTCCCTTCCCACGCAGCCCCACCACCTCCTCCCTAGCAGCCACCCAAAACCACCATTTCTCTCCCGAACCCCACCGAAAACCACCGAAAACCACCAAACCCCACCGAAAACCCCCACGCAACCACTGAAAGCCCCCACGTAACCACTGAATGCCCAAGTTCTTAGCCCCCGAAACCCCAAAACCCAGCCACCGAAAACGAGAAACAGAGGGAGGGGGAATCAGCGGCGAAAACGAGAAACAGAGGGAGGGGGAGGGGGAATCAGCGGCGAAAGGGGGAGGAGGTATCCGCGGCAAAAGGGGGTCGAGGTTTGCGCGAGATGGTTGTAATGGGGGTCGGGGAATCGCGTTGCTGGTGGTAATGGGGGTCGACGTTCGCGCGAGATGGTGGTTGTACGGGTCGCGATTGGTGCGGGTGGTGGTTTTGGTGGTTTTGGGTGGTTGTTGCGATTTTGGTGGGTGGTTGAGGGGTATTGGCTGGTGGCCGTGGTGGGTGGTTGAGGGGTAATGGCTGGCTTTTTTTTTCTTTTTTTTTTTGTTTTTTTTTGTTTTAAATTTCTAATTTTTTTTACCAATGAAATTGCGACATATGGCATTTAAGGAAAAAAAAAACTTGTCAAACAGGTCACCGGTCATTTGACCTGATAAAAGAAGACGCCCTCTAAAGTTGGGATTATTTAAAAATAATCGAAAGTTGGGATTAATGAAAAGAAATCGCCTAAAGTTGGGATTAATAATTATAAATTTCCTTTTATTTATTGTAAATTAAAGATTTTTTTCAAGAAATAATTTTTAAAAGGATAATTTACCTTTATACATATAAGCTAAAGGAGGTTAGACAACATAATAAAAATTAAGACAATAATAGCTACTTTTAATATAAAGCAAGGAATCCAACTTGAAGACTTTAAAAAATGTAGTGGTCATTTACTATTGGATGGAGCTAGACACTCAAGGGAGGATTAAGGTAATGACTGCTAAGGACAATTTAATTCACCCGAAGATCATAACCAAACTTCTAAGGGAGCATGAATTTGTAGTTGAATTCTCGAAACGGAAGAGACTACCCAAATATATATACTTCCTCCGTTTCTATTTAGTAAACGCGTTTGATTTAGATACATATATTAAGGAGAGGAGAGAGAGTGAGAGAGAATGAAAAAGAAAGTGGGGTAGCTTGTAAATGTAAGGTAAAAAATTACCCTAAATGGAAACGTGTCTACTAAAAATAATATCCTAAAAAAGAATACGTGTCAACTAAAATGAAAAGGAGGTAGTATTAGTTAGTAGTTCGATTTACTTTTTTTTTTTCCAACCAATAATGGTTAGCCTTTTCTCATATATTTGGCAAGTTATAAAACCCTATTTCAAAGGAGATGGAATAAGTATGCAGAAATAATATCACCAAATTTAATGTACCTAATTACATATAACCTTTGATATTTGTTACTAACTATTCATTATTAACATGTCAATGGACTAAAAGTTTATTTAGAAATGTGTTTTTTTCTTTTGTGTCTAAATTTATTTTGTGTCTTTTTCTTATGGTGACCTTTGAAAATTTGTTTCTCTAGTGAATAGTCATCAAAGCTAGATAGTTAGAGTGGATAGTGAGAATAGGTTATGCGAGTTAAAGTAGATTAAATGTTTCGATCACTTTTGTTTCTTTTTGTTTGTATATATAAACAGCTTAATTTATTTTGTTAATTAAGTTGTATTAGTCAAGACTTTGAATTTCATAACAATTGACATTGTTATCATTTGTGCTTATGGTACTTATAATTTTTTTTAGTTTAGAACTATGTCTCCATACAAATGTAAATTTACATAAATTAAAGGAAAAATTATCATTAATATTATGACCTTTCAAACATCTTCCATAAATAAGATAACCTTTGGTTTATTTCCGAATAATATGACCTTTTACCCCCATCTTCCATAAATAGGACCATTTACTGGAAACCGGCTAAAACTTGTTGTGATGGTCAATGTTAACTCTTGACTTTATTATTCCCTCCTAAAGTAGCCTACGTGGCATTAATTACCCAACTACCCAAAGAACCCCCTCTCATTCAATTTTCTCTCTCCTTATTTCTTCCTCTCTGCGAAGTCCATTAAAGAAGCTCAACTTCTTTTCTGAGCTCATTCCATTATTCCCACCAACCTGATTGTAATTGAAAAAGGACGAAATTGGGTGCTCTAGAGAACGGTGCAAGCTGAAGTTGAACTCCATTAATTTGGGCTAAAGCAGTAAGCCAAGCTTCAGTCAGTGGTAGGGGCTCAACTTCAGCTGAGTCCAGTGCTGGAAGAGGCTAAGCCAGGGGGAGAGGAATAGGGCAAGGCATGGAAAGAGGTTCAGGGCAAGGCAGGGGAACAACTAGGGGAAGAGGGAGGACTCAGGTATTAAACAGACCCCATCAATTTTGATATGACTAAATGAATTGCCATCTAATCTAACTTAATGCTTCTGTAGTCTCCCATTGGAATTGGAGTTCTATTCAGCCAAGATGGGACACCATTAACTGAGGTATAACCACTCCTGAATTACTTATGGTTTAGTTATTGTAGTTTAGTATCTTATGTTGTTCTTCTATACAGAGTCCTAGTACAAGGAGGATGCTCAGAAGTCAAGGTCTTGGAACACAATCAAGCCACACCTCCACTGTTGATAATTGATGATGCAACTTGTTTCTCTGTGTAATTAATCAACTTTATGTAATAGTTTAGCAACTGTTGGGCCTTTTTTTTGGTCATTGCTTGGCCAGCAAATATTGTCATGCACAATTTATTTTGGAACAATTTCAAGTTGTAAAACTTTATCTTTGTGTAATGACCTAAAACTTACTTCAAACTCAAACAATGTCAAAGTTTTTACTTAAACTTTTGCAAAATATTGACACATAGTAAATCTACTTATGATTTGATGAACTCCAAAGTACAACAATTTCATTACAATAAAACACATTAATTAACATAAAACAATATTACACCAAAAAATATCCAAGACAACACTAAACCAATCATAAGATTTTTTTTCTGCCCTTGCAGCCTTCAAAAGCTCAATTCTCATACAAGACACTTCAAATTTCATCTCTTGTACATCTTCTTCCAGATTATCCTTCTTCAACTGCAGCTTTTTAATTTTCTCATCCCTAATATGTTGTTCATGCTCCATCTCGCTAATAATAGTATCCTTCTCTAATAGCCCCATTGCAAATTCATCATACTCGGTGTTAGGATTCACCCATCTAAACATGTCACATTGGGTATCCTACACAAAACAAAACATATACACACAAAATCATAACTAAGTCAATTCCCAAACAAATTCAAAAAATTAACATAAACACAAACAAATCTGAACACTTACCGGCCACAATGGACAACCATAGAATTTATTCCCCACATTTGATCCTTATCTCACAGTACGAATCACAGCTTCCCTCTCACAATCGCAGCTCCATTGCAGTCTTCTGATTAAACAGTATTACATACTATAGTGTTGTTTGAGCATGTGGACTGTTTGAGAATTTATATAGTGTTAGTGTGAACTCTCTGTCTAGTTTTCTCATGATCCGTTTGATAAGCCGTATTGAGAATGAATTTACATGTACTTTTGTAAGGAAAGGCTCATATAAATGTCTATGGTAATGCTTGTTCGTCCCTCAAGACCCCAAGTATATAATCGTCATCATAAATTTGTGTCATCATTCATGATGAATTTAAACGTGTGTTGGGTGGTTATGAAAATTCGTGTAGAAAAACACATTGACTCAAGTTATTACTAACAAAATATGTCATTAGTACTTCTTAAGGTGGTTTGAGTTTCATGGTAAGATAATTTTTGTCCTCAATTTTAATGGTGTTTATGTTTGGATAATTGAGCTACTGAAAAATCACTAGGCTTTTATATTTTGCTTTGCTCCTTTTTTCTAAGTTTTGATGATTCTGAACTGTATGCATTAGGTGTTAGTGTATTCTGAAGGCTTGACCTTGTACTCACTTGAGTTATTGTTCTATTACTAAGAGCATTATGCCTGAGTTTTGGTAGGAAGGAATGTCGTAGTAAAATCTCATGTAAGACGGAAAAAAGACTTTATGTGGGGAAATGTTGTTTTATTGCATTCCCTATGTTATGACTAGGGGTGTACAAAAATTGGCCCAGACCAGAAAACTGACCTGAACCGAACCTGTTGGGACCAAACGTATAGATTCAGGTCTGGTCCCTGTAGATTCAGGTCCGATCCCGATCCTTGAAATTCAAGGATTCCAGGTTTCAGGTTCGGTCCGGGTAAAACCCTGAATTTTCATGTCTGGACCTGAAATCGGTAAAACTACCTTTTTTTTATTTACTAAGTCTAAACAGGTCCATAAATAGGTCCATATTAGGTCCAAACAGGTCTAAATAGGTCAAAACAGGTCTAAACAGGTCTAAATAGGTATAAACAGCCAGGTCTAAACAAGTCCAAATAGGTGTAAACAGGTCAGCAATTTCATATTATTTTAAAAAAAAGGAAAAAAATATATCAATAATCAGGCCTATTCAGGTCCAAACCCGGACCGAACCTGATTTTTCAAGCCTGGACCAGAACCGCACCTGTTAATTCAGGTCCGGTCTCCGGTCCTTAAAAATTAAGGATTCAGGTCCCGGTCTATTCAGGTCCGTGTCAGGTGCAGTCCGATTTTTGACCGGTGTACAACCCTATTTATGATTATTGTTCAATCAGTTTAATTAAATGTTTACATATACATTGCATTCAAACTTGAGATTCTTTTTTAAATTGAAACAAAATGCACAACTACAATTAACCAGCAGATTTGTTTTGACCTCATTAACGCACAGGTCATAAGAGGAGAAGTTGTGGTATTTGAAGTGCAAAGAAGTGGAAAATAGAAAGCTAAAAAGGAGGAGAAACGGCTGCAAGAATTGGAGGTAATATACATAAGCACTGCCTAAATATAATATCGTTCTGGATGAAAATTTCGATTGTGTATCTCTAAATGTCTATAGTTGGTTGTGAGTTTTGATCTTAAGCTATTTCTTGATTCATAGTTAATGAATATTAATTCGGCTATTTCACCAAATGCCACTGATTACTTACAAAATTCACCAAATGCCATCAAAGTTTTCGAAATTCACCAAATGTCATTGACAAATAATATAATGACACCTCGTGCCACTAATAGCATATGGACGTTAGTTTTCCGTCTGTCCAATTCTTATTTCACCAAATGCCATTACTTTAGAAAATTATTTCACCAAATGCCATTACTTTCTAAAACTAATACACAATAATTATTTATTTTAATGAATAAAAATAATACTTTTTTCAATTTTCGTGATGAATAATATTCGGATAAGGTTTTGGGGGTCATTTTTACCCTTTATGGGTTTAAATTAAACTCGAAATTGGCTAAAAAAACTTAAATACCTCGTTTCGCATTTTTTTTCCGAAAAAAATTACGGCTTTTTTCACCAAATGCCACTAAGTACTTACAAAATTTACCAAATGCCATCAAAGTTTTCAAAATTCACCAAATGCTACTGACAAACAATATAATGACACCTCGTGCCATTAATAGCATGTGGACGTTAGTTTTCCGTCAATGCAATTCTTATTTCACCAAATGCCATTACTTTGGAAAATTATTTCTCCAAATGTCATTACTTTTTAAAATTAATACACAATAATTATTTATTTTAATGAATAAAAATAATACGTTTTTTCGATTTTCGTGATGAATATTATTCGGGTAAAGTTTTGGGGGTCATTTTAACCCTTTATGGGTACAAATTAAACTCGAAATTGGCTAAAAAAAAACGTGAATACCCCGTTTTGCATTTTTTTCCGAAAAAAATTACGATATTGACATACAAAATGGGGCATATATGTTATTTTTCGTCGATTTCGAGCTTAATTTGTTACCATAAAGGATCAAAATGACCCCCAAAACCTTACCCGATCAATTTTGATAGTTAAAAAATAACGACATGCTAATCGAAATATTTTTTAACACACAAAACTGAGCATTTACGTTATTTTTTTGTCAATTCCGGGCTTAATTTGTATCCATAAAGGGTCAAAATGACCACCAAAACCTTACTCGATCAATTTTTATGGTTAAAAAATAACGACACGCTAATCGAAATATTTTTCAACACACAAAACGGAGCATTTATGTTATTTTTTTTGTCAATTCCGAGCTTAATTTGTGTCCAAAAAGGATCAGAATGACCCCCAAAACTATACCCGAGTAATTGTTGCCACGAAAATAAAGAAAAAAAATATTATTTTAACTTATTAAAATAAATAATTAAAATGAACCAATCATATTATGACACGTGTCAAGATTTAATCTTAATGACTAACGTAGTTAACGGTCGTTAGTAATTAATGGCATGTGGTGAATTTTAAAAATTCGATGGCATTTGGTGAATTTTGAAAACCTTGATGGCATTTGGTGAATTTTTTAAGTACTCAATGGCATTTGGTAAAATAGCCAAAAAAAAAAAAAATTATTTTTACTAATTAAAATAAATAATTAATATGAACCAATCATATTATGACACGTGTCAAGATTTAATCTTAATGACTAGCGTAGTTAACGGCCGTTAGTCATTAATGACATTTGGTGAATTTTTTAAAAGTTCGATGACATTTGGTGAATTTTGAAGACCTTGATGGCATTTGGTGATTTTTTTAAAGTACTCAATGGCATTTGGTGAAATAGTCAATATTAATTTGATGATTCATAGTAGGTGATGGTCTATTACCTTCGTCGGCTAAATGGGATAACTATAAAAATAGAGAGGGGGGATAAGCTGCTTGAACAAGATGTAGTTGAGGATAGATGGACCTTGTGATGTCTTTTATCTCTTTGTTTTATTAAAAAATCTGGCATGATAAGTATTTTTGTTTTCCCTATAACTTTTTTTTTAAAGACGGGAAAGGGAGCATAATAACCACAAATCAGGTTACATCAAGCTCCGCCAAGGACAAGACCCCTAGCGGAAAGGAATTTACAAACAATTGCCTCACCCCATTTGAAGGAGTAAGTCTATCAGAAAAGTGTGCCACTGTATTACCCTTCCTTTTCACACGATGGCAAGAAAAACTATCAAGATTGTACCCCAAGCTACATATATCTTCCACCAGTAGATCAAAAACAGACCTCCCAAATCACTTTAAATTAATTGCACCTGATAAATTAGTAGCATCACATTCTAGTTCCACCTTTTGATAACTAAGACTTAAGGCAACATGTAACCCCAATCTAACAATGAGAGCTTCAGAGACATCAACTGAACTTCTGCAGACTTCCCTACGCACCACCACTGTAAGAACACAACCTGCAGCATCCCTAAAAACCGCCCCTAACCCCACGCCATTCTCCTCCAACATTGCAGCGTTAATATTGATTTTTATAATACCCGGAGCATGAGGAAGCTAATAACTTTTAAAAAATCATAGCTCTAGTAGCAGGAAGCCAGGAACAGAGTAAACTCTCGATTTATATTTTTTAAAATCGAGAACAAGTCTCACAAAACCCATAGCTCCTACTACTTCATTACTCCAAGTCTCACGAAACACCACTGAATTGCGAAAAGCCTACGCACCCCACACAAAAGCCACTTGAACTAGCATCTCATGTTTTTTAAATTTTTCAAATGCCTAGTAAATCCATTCAATGAGTATTTTTCTAACGACTTTAAACTCTCCCAATTTGATTCCACTACTGTGTATTTTTTCTATTGTTCTCTCCCATTTAAACTTTGCATTTGAGTATTGAATTTTCATATTTATTTTTGTTATCATTGTTTTGAATTGAAGTGTCTTTTGAGTTTTCTCCCCCACCCCCTTTTTGTTTTTTTTTT